CCATTTCATAATTTAATTAGTTGATCGACCAAAGGACTAAATAATAGTTCAGATGGTATAATTTTAGTTCATTAGACTCAAGAATCAAAGTCATTGTTATAATATTTGATGGCTTAAATCTCTCGATTCTTGGAAGATTGCAAATTATACCATAGATAACTCTAATGTTATAATTAACATTTTCGAATGGTTGAAACTAATCTAGATTTAACATAATTTTTAAATGACAATCTGATATCTTTTTTCAGAAAAAAGATAGATTTTCATTTGGATCACGAAAGGTCTTCCAAATTTTTCCATCGTAAATATCATTTAAATACTGAGAATTATTATATCAATTTGCTTATTTTCTACATGATTCTTTGAATTCTCTATGATTATATATCAATTGTAATTGATATTTTAAACTGACAATTAGAAATATCATAGATAGTCAGTATATTATTTCACCTGTAATAGGAATATTCTTATTAAGTTTGACTTCATATTTTTCTCTTTTGTTTGTCATTGGATGTTTTGAAAAATCTATATAGGTATAATGACTTAAGACCAGAGCTTAGGAAGATTTATCAGTTGATACTTCTATTATATTATACAATTTGCAACATTTTTCATATGCTGCATATTTGATAATATGAGCGCAAATGCTAAGTTTCTTACAAACTATATATAATGATGTTGGGAAAATTTTGTATGTATTTGCATCCAGAAGAATCAAAAGATACCTAATAAATTTAATCAGAGAATCAGTAGCTACATCAGACAGTCAATACCTCTTTTAGTAAATAAAATCTATAAAATGATTCAATGAAAACTTTTGTTAAAATTAATAATAGGCACTTCTGGATCATCATCACTATATGCATACTCTGGCGTAGCAAATCCACTAAATAATTCTTCTTCGATAAAATCAAAGTCACTATTATCCTGATCTTTGTAATTGCTACTTTCACTATCATCATCATTATCATCATCATCATCAAAAATATCCTGTTTAATATAACCATAGAATAATTAATATTTTTGACAATCTCACCACTGACCCTTTTTTTGCCTTCTGAATTGTCTTTCGATTGTTTCCTAAGAAGAAATAAATAACTTTCTTCTTAGATCAATTCTATTTCTTCTTGATAGGTTGATTTTACTTCTTGATAGATTGATTCTATTTCTAGATCATTATCGTTTGAGGTGTCAGCTTCCAAAAGATCTATTGATATATTCTGACTTAATTTTCTAGATGACTCAACTGTTGGTATATCTTCGATTATCCCTCTTGGTTTAATATCAATTTTAGATTCATGTTTTTTATTATTTGTGGTGAAATAAAATGACTTTTATATACAATGCAATAACATCGAATCTTTCTTATTTTATCAGAAGTAACAGATGGTTCATTAGAATCTTTTACAAAGGATTTTAGTTTTTCAATAGTTTTTTGACATCATAAAATTCAATAATAAATAATAAAAAAATTCACTTTTTATAATTTTATATAGTCTATTTTTCAATTATTATACCATTATTAGGTAATACAATATCTTTCACGTGATATATTGTTAGATACATTATTAGATCATCAATAAATCAAATTCAATAAATTAACAATTTTTACATCAAAAATTTATTCTGATTACTACATGGATTTTTAGTTTAGATTTTATTTAACTTTTCTATATTTTATGTATTATGTTGATTTTATCGTTTGAATTAAATAATGCATAAATTATAGAGTCATAAAAAAAAAGTTTATTCTAATATAAGAAGTTTAAACAGAAATCTAAAATAATTATAAATAATGTAAATAAGTAAATATGAATCCATATTTTTTTTCTTTCCACTTCACTCACTATATTTGTTTGCAGAAAGAAAAAAAAATATACATATATAAAAGGTTTATTTTTTCTATCGAGCTTTTCATTCATACTATTTTTATTTAAATATAACTATCAACTTCTCATCAAATTTTAGTTAATATGTATAGTAGAAGACCTTTTAAATAAAAATTATCAGAAAATATTGTTCAAGATCTTTAGATTAAAA